AGAGTTAATCCGTCTCAGAAATAGTTCCAAATTGGTTGCAAGAACCTTATTTGCCTTGATTGATTTGTTACAAGGAGCAAAATCTGTCCTTTCGTTCTTTATTTGGCGTGTGGGGGGATGATTTTCATTTAAAAATTTCAAATTTTAGGATTTTTTTTTTCATTTTTTTCATTTAATTTTTCCATGTAATTACTGCTCCATAGACCTTAAGAGGCAGTCGGAACATTCAGGGCCTCGCCCTGATACGAGCAGTCTTGTTGAAATTTGTGTTTGAAATTCTCAAAGTAAGTGAATCTTCGACATTGTTTTGTTGGCTTCTAGTTGACTTGTTTTTATCGCAGTTTTGAAAATGGTGATTCCATTCACAGTCGATGTTTAACCTACAAAAATTACTGTATCGTCTCCTGGGCAATTTTACTGAAGATTTGGGGTCAGTTTGGTTCTTTTTTCTCCAAGAAACATTTTAATTAGCTTTTTTGAAGGGATTTTCTAAATCATTTGGAAATCATTGTTGTTCCAAATTCAAATTTAAAAAGCTTTGTTAACAATTTTTTGTAAAAATATAGGGTTTGAAAGTAGCCAGTTTTGCCAATGTTTCGAAGTTTGATAAAATTCAGTCAAAATAAAACGAGCAGTTTGAGCCGTTTTCTAAACAAACTGAGCAGTTTTCAACGGGTAATGAAGTTAGTTCAATGTCTGTGTTTGTTTGCTTATTTTAAAATGTTACTGATCAGTTTTGCCAAAGCTCGTTTTAAGACCTTGCTTAAAATACTCACTCAAAAATTCAGTTAACAAATTGGAGCTACCAAAAATGCTTTGAAATTGTTAAAAGTTTTGAACGGTTTGAAAAGTTTTAATTTTGGAAATTTCAATTTCCTAATATAATTTATCGAAATAGTTTTTCTTGACTCGGGTTTATAAGGAAAGACTGAATGTATAACGTTGGATAACGAAAATTTCCAAGCTGTTTTAAGAATAAGGCCTAGTCAAGGCAGAACTACACGTGTCTATTTATTGTTCCGACTTTCGATACGAAAGTGACGGAATATTTCTGCTCGGGTGGGTTTTTTTTTTCAGACAAATTTCGACTTTTTAACTAGCCATTTTTGACGGAATTTATTTATATCATTCGAAAGGTATTGTTGTCCTGAGCTTAAATTAGAAATGATATTTCACCTGTAATTGTTTTTCATAAAGGTACGGGAGTTTAAAGATTGCCATTTTGGCCAATTTGGGACAATTAACGCGCGATATATTTCGCGCTATTAACGCGTAAGCGGAGAGTTAATCCGTCTCAGAAATAGTTCCAAATTGGTTGCAAGAAGCTTATTTGCCTTGATTGATTTGTTACAAGGAGCAAAATCTGTCCTTTCGTTCTTTATTTGGCGTGTGGGGGGATGATTTTCATTTAAAAATTTCAAATTTTAGGATTTTTTTTTTCATTTTTTTCATTTAATTTTTCCATGTAATTACTGCTCCATAGACCTTAAGAGGCAGTCGGAACATTCAGGGCCTCGCCCTGATACGAGCAGTCTTGTTGAAATTTGTGTTTGAAATTCTCAAAGTAAGTGAATCTTCGACATTGTTTTGTTGGCTTCTAGTTGACTTGTTTTTATCGCAGTTTTGAAAATGGTGATTCCATTCACAGTCGATGTTTAACCTACAAAAATTACTGTATCGTCTCCTGGGCAATTTTACTGAAGATTTGGGGTCAGTTTGGTTCTTTTTTCTCCAAGAAACATTTTAATTAGCTTTTTTGAAGGGATTTTCTAAATCATTTGGAAATCATTGTTGTTCCAAATTCAAATTTAAAAAGCTTTGTTAACAATTTTTTGTAAAAATATAGGGTTTGAAAGTAGCCAGTTTTGCCAATGTTTCGAAGTTTGATAAAATTCAGTCAAAATAAAACGAGCAGTTTGAGCCGTTTTCTAAACAAACTGAGCAGTTTTCAACGGGTAATGAAGTTAGTTCAATGTCTGTGTTTGTTTGCTTATTTTAAAATGTTACTGATCAGTTTTGCCAAAGCTCGTTTTAAGACCTTGCTTAAAATACTCACTCAAAAATTCAGTTAACAAATTGGAGCTACCAAAAATGCTTTGAAATTGTTAAAAGTTTTGAACGGTTTGAAAAGTTTTAATTTTGGAAATTTCAATTTCCTAATATAATTTATCGAAATAGTTTTTCTTGACTCGGGTTTATAAGGAAAGACTGAATGTATAACGTTGGATAACGAAAATTTCCAAGCTGTTTTAAGAATAAGGCCTAGTCAAGGCAGAACTACACGTGTCTATTTATTGTTCCGACTTTCGATACGAAAGTAACGGAATATTTGTGCTCGGGTGGTTTTTTTTTCTTCAGACAAATTTCGACTTTTTAACTAGCCATTTTTGACGGAATTTTTTTATCATTCGAAAGCTATTGTTGTCCTGAGCTTAAATTTGAAAAGTTACTTCACCTGTGATCATTTTTTGTAAAGTTATGGGTGTTTAAAGATTGCCATTTTGGCTAATTTGATACAATTAACGCGCGATATATTTCGCGCTATTAACGCGTAAGCGGAGAGTTAATCCGTGTTAAAAATTGTTCCAAATTGGTTGAAAAAAACTTATTTGCCATAATTGATTTGTTACAAGGAGCAAAATCTACCCTTTTGTTCTTTATATGGCGTGTGGGAGAATGATTTTCATAAAAAATTTCAAACTTTAGAAGAAAAAAATATTTCTTTTAAAATTTCAAAATTCATTTTGTTTTATTTAATTTAATTTTTTAATGTTATCACTGTTTCAAAAACCTTGAATGACAGTCGGAACATTCAGGGTTTCGCCTTGATACGAGCAATCTTGTTTATTTTGCTTGCAACTCTCTATACAGTGCTGATTTAAATAAACCGGACAAAACGCGTTAAACTTGAAATTTAAAACCCGTTTTTCTCAAATTGGGTTGAGTTTAGGTGAAAACTTATGAAGGCAAAACTTGCTTAAAATTTAAAAAATAATAATATGGTGTAACTTGTTTTGCAAAATTCGGGCCCAAAGTTTTACCCCAAAAATGGGTCATTTTGGCTTTTCTTAGTTTATCAAAAATTACGCCAAAAATAACCAGTCGATCACAGACATAATTATATCAAAGTGAGCCCCTTACGTAGCCCAACAAACTTGAAGAGGGTATATTCTCCAAAACAATGTATAAATTAATTTATTTTTGTTTGATAGACAAAAAAGGTCGTTTTTACTAAATAAAATACCTACTTTTGATTTAAAAACAATTTTTAAACGATTTGCAATTTTTTTTGGAGAATACACCCTCATTAAAGTTTGTTGGCCTACGTAAGGCGCTCACTTTGATACAATTATGTCCGTGATCGATTGGTTATTTTTGGTGTAATTTTTGATTAACTAAGAAAAGCCAAAACGACCCATTTTTGGGGTAAAATTTTGGGCCCGAATTTTGCAAAACAAATTACACCATATTAATTCTGCTAGAATTTTAGGCAAGTTTTGTCTTCATAAGTTTTCACCTAAACTCAACCCAATTTGAGAAAAACGCGTTTTAAATTTCAAGTTGAAAGCGTTTTGTCCGGTTAATTTAAATCAGCACTGTATGCCCCAGTTTCAGAGCATGTGGATTGACGAAATCAAATTTTAGAGGGTATGGAGCAATTAAATTTGATTTTAAGCCAAGTGAACCGTAGGAATTAGCTTTCAGACTGTGTCGACCTAAGGAACATGGTTTCAGGCCATGTGAACGAAATGTGTCCGGTTTCTGACCGCTGAGTCCACCAAGGCCGGTTTCAGACTATGGGTACCGACAAAGTGCGGAATCAGGCGTGTCATTTAAGGATTTAAACTAAGAAAAATTGAAATGGTTTTTTCCCTCGCCCATTTTGCGCCAACATTTTTGCGAAACTTTGTGTGTAAGATATTAAGGGCAAAATGTATCAGTAAATTTTAGAGGGGCAAAGTGTGTGGGTGGCAAAATGCGTTTAGACACTTTTTATGATCTAACGAAAGTTGACCGAAACTTTTTATGATTTGGAATATCAGTTTTTTCTGAAGATCCACTGGCTTCAAAAGGATGTCTTATTTCATATCTAGATTAACCGTATCCATGCTTACTTTTTCTCTGACTTTTTGTTAATATCAAGCGTTATTTTGAACTGGTCAGTTATCACTTATATGACTTCGTCTCATGCGTTTGGCAGTTTGCGCAGACTATGTTCAGACTTTGACATCTGTTGTGTCTATGATTTTTGGGTCCAACACGGATCGATTCAAACTAGTGAAAATTGAAAGAAAAAGCCACAACATCGACTGGCGATGATAAATGCGTTAACGATTCATGGGTATAGTTCTGTGTAGTCGAATTTTTATTATATTCCGAGTATTCTGTTATTTGATTTCCGCTTCGCTATCTATTTTTTTCTCTTTTCTTCTAATTAGGTTGAAGCTGTCATAAATTCTTTGAAAAGTAGAGCAACTAAATTCGAATGAAATTTCATTATTTTTATATATTGAATGACTTTTTATTAACTGCAATCCTGGAAATTTCTATTCTGGAAATTTTTTCAGAATTCTGAATACATTTCCAGTGATGGGTCAGACTAATGAAAATCATAAGAAACTGGGTTCTAGCAAGAAGTTTTTTTTGCGATCTTGCAAAATTATGATTATCTTGAATTATGATTATCTTGAATTATGATTATCTTGAATTATGATTATCTTGAATTATGATTATCTTGTAAGATCTTGCATGAATCTTGCAAGATCTTGACAAGATATACATACATCTTGTCAAGAATCTTGCAAGAATCTCGCAAGAGATCTTGACAATATAATCTTACATCTTGTCAAGAATCTTACAAGAACCTTGCAAGAATCTTGCAAGATCTTGATAATATAATCTTACATCTTGTCAAGAATCTCGCAAGTATCTTGCAAGATCCTGCAAGATAACCATTGGCTATCGACTAGGGAATACATAAAGATATAGAAATAGTATACCTGTCATGTCCTCTTCCTTGTAAGTGTCCAGAGTGGCTATGCATGCCACCCTTCTGAGTAGCTGTCTCTTGGACAGTCTGTTCTGAGGGATCTCCTTCAATACACCACTCTTCATGTCCACCAGAGCCTCCGCTATCCTACTGTTCTCCTCAGTCGTCCTCTCAAACGGCCTAGGAGGCGTTCATATTTAACAGGATAGCAGTTATTTTGCAAGTAGCACAGAATGATCCGACCAGGATAACTCAAAAAAAGAAATTCAAAAGTCAAAAATGATTTCAAAAGAAACAAGAAAAAATTTCAAAAAAAACGTTGCAACTTTTTTTAAATTTTATTGTAAATATTTGTAAAGATTGAGTGACTGATTTACCTTGCAATTTTCAAAAATTTCAAAAACTTTGCTATTTTTTTTACTAAATGTTACTGCCAATATTTGTAAAGACTGACTGATTACATAAGAAAAAACGAAGTAATTTAAAGTAATAATAGCTGAGATAACGTTGAACTTGTAGCCGAATTGAGTTATGAGATGTAATTAGACTTTTTCGTAATATTTTTAGCATCCTAATGACGACCAATAAAGCTTTAATATGATCAATTTTGATCCCGTACGAGCTTGCTTTGTGGTAGTCTAAAAAAGATGTAAAAAAAAATGTCCCGAATCCAAAGTTTTTGTCCACTCTTCGAGTGGTCAGAAAAATAACAATTAAGCTTACGCTATGCAACTGATCTACTCTTTCGTCTTCTTGAAGTATGAACGTAAATTTAAAAATTGTTTTTGAATGGTGCAAACAAATCTTTTCGCAAGGATAGCTATCTACTGAGCAAGTGGAATATTCCGATCAAAGTAATTTTAACGCAGCAATTAAAGTATGTGAAATTTTTAAAATTGAAAAAATTGTTTTTTGTTTCACAATATTTCTGCTTAATATATATTTTTGAGATGCTCATTTGGGTGATAGTTTGAAAAAAGAGGTTGTTATAGTGTTATAGCTGAAAAAAAACGTAATAAAGCTCTACAATTAGTCAGAAAGTTACTCGTTTTTCTCCGAGACGCTCAATATTTTTCAATTGTTTCTGGTAATCTAAATCACGGCCAATTGCGTTTTATTATGATACCACATTAAGCGCCTGAAAGCATAATATCGCGTATGCTGGTCTTTCTAAAAGTGTCTTAACTATTAATTTGGCTATTGAATCCACTATTTTTGCAATAGGCAGCAACAATTTGCCGAACTCTGATGATGATATACTTCATTAAGTTCGATTGGTTTTTGTTCATGCTTGTTTCCGCGGTTTATCGAATTTTACTGCTTTTTGTTCCAAATTTCGATACGAAAGTAACGGAATATTTGTGCTCGGGATATATTTCGCGCTATTAACGCGTAAGACGAGATATAAACCGTCTTAGAAATCGTTCCAAATTGGTCAAATTGGTTTAAAGAAGTTTATTTGCCATAATTGATTTGTTACAAGGAGCAAAATCTATCCTTTTGTACTTTATATGGTGTATGGGGGGGTTGATTTTCATTAAAAAAACTTCAAATTTTAGAAAAAAAAAGTTTTCATTTTTTTTTCATTTAATCTCTTAAGGTTATTACTAATCTGTAAACCTTAAAAGGCAGTCGGATTTTTCAGGGCTTCGCCCTGATACGAGCAGTCTTGTTGTTCCGACTTTCGATACGATAGTAACGGAATATTTGTGCGCGGGTGGGTTTTTTTTCTTCAGATAAGTTTCGACTTTTTAACTAGCCATTTTTGACGGAATTTTTTTATATCATTCGAAAAATATTGTTGTCCTGAGCCTAAATTTGGGAAAAAATATATTTCACCTGTGATCATTTTTCGTAAAGTTATGGGGGTGTAAAGATTGCCATTTTGGCCAATTTAGGACAATTAACGTGCGATATAATTTGCGCTATTAACGCGTAAGCGGAGAATTAATCCGTCTTAAAATCGTTCCAAATTGGTTGAAAGAAGCTTATTGCCATAATTGATTTGTTACAAGCAGCGAAGTCTATCCTTTTGTACTTTAAATGGCGTGTGGGGGGGGTGAGCTTCATAAAAAACTTCATTTGTTTTTTTTTCCTTTAATTTTATAATGTTATTACTGCTCCATAAGCCTTAAAAGGCAGTCGGAACATTCAGGGCTTCGCCCTGATACGAGCAGTCTTGTTGGTTTTGGAATCTTTTTCTTCCCCAAATTTGACCTACCCGATTTCATAAACTAACACATGCAGTAGCGGATTTAGGGAGGGGCTGGGGACAAGTGAACAGATTAGTGCTTCATAACCTGCATCGTATTTTTACGCTTTCAACACAAATGAAAAAAAAAATTCAAAAGAAAAGAGCGAGTGGGGCTGGAAAAGAGTCCTTTTTTTCTCATTTTTTGGTCCAAATTTAACCGCAATTGAGAGAAAAAAGTTAGGAAGTTTTATTTTTGTTCATTTTATCCTGCTATTTCAAAAAAGGGCTATAACTTTTGTTCAGTACAAAAGCAGTTAAAAATCGATAAAGCGCGAAAAGATGCGTGAACAAAAAACAATTCAACCTAATAAAACATATCATCAGAGTTCGGCAAATTATTGCTACTTATTGCAAAAAAAAGGCTTCAATAACCCAAATTAACGGGAAATCAGAAACAAAAATGTGTAATGAAAACACCCTGTAAGTTGATTTAGGAATGCACATAGCAGCCAAGCGGTCATGCCTTCAGCGAATGTGGGACTTGATATGGAATGTTTCATGAAACTACTAACTATAAAAACTGACTAAATTGCTTCTGCTTCAAATTCTTGCTATTCTAAACGCGACGAGTTGTCGCCATGCCCCCATAACAACTCACAGTATCTGCAGTAGTTGTCTGAGGTCCTTGAGAGCCATGTTGAACTTCTGCTGGAAAGTGGCACTGGTCCGAACATCGTGCACCTGTATTCAAACCATGATTGCTATTGGAGCCACAGCTAGTAATGAATTATTAAATCACGAAAAGTAGATAATATTATAATAGAATAGAAAACGTATTAATATGTATCAGGTTAATGACAATTCATAGTTCTGTAGGATGTGAAAAAGGCGTCATACATATTTTCGCTCTCGGATAAAAATCAGATCATTGTTTCACGAATTCATTTCATGCTTCTTCTTCTTTATATCGACCCCAACCTTCAAAAGCATCTTAAGAATCGTTGTGCTTATAATTGTTGGTTAATTTATAGAACCCGTTGTAACGTTTTCAGATAAAATTAAATAACTAAAATCAAAATAAAATTGATCAATAAATATCCAAGATGAATAAATATAACCAGGTGTAAAATTAATTCTATCTTTTTTATCAGTGTTTTAGAGGGAAGGAACTGACCTGAGCCATATGGTAGGACACATCCCCCAAGTGAGGCACGATAGAGTCCCCCCTCTCCTGTGGACTGAAAGACTTCTGGTGGTTCTGCTTCGGTTTGGCCAGTTGCACCAGGCGATTGTCTGAATACATGAGATATGTTTAATATTTTGATCTTTTTTTTAAAGTTTAAAATGAAATAGAAATAGATTAACCAAATAGAAATAGATTAACCAAATTGAATTTCATCGTTTTTTCTGAAAAACATTAAAGGCAATGTGTAGCTAAAGTTTATAGCGCTGTATTGATATTTCAAAAACGCCAAATAGCAAAAAAAAAGTTCAATGGCGTCTATTTTGTGAGAAGCTATGAATTTTTAGAAAGCGCGCTTGCCCTTAATCCTTGAAAGGTTACAGGAAAAAGTTCGTTGGCCAAAAAATCGTCAGTCAAAAAAATTCAACTTTTTGAAAAGAATGGGTTAATTTCATGAAACTTTTTTCCTAAAGATTTACAGAAAAAAAATCTTTTTTTTCTGACTTGTTTGTGCTAGCGGCATCATCGTCTTTGAAGTTAATGGGTCGGCGGATCTGGTGGTTCTGACAACACCTCTCTCTGTCGAACTGATGTTGTTCACGTCTTCACTTCTCTGACCTTCATCTTCTGTTCTGAATAGTTTGGAGTAGGTAGAGAAAAACCTCTCTCGTAGTAAATCAGGCAAAACGGCTCCAGATCTGAAAAATTTAACTCGTTTTTTTTAAAAATTTTAAACGTTGTATATTTACGCTGCTGAGTATGGAAGTTTCAAAAAAAGTGTTAAAAAATTATGAAAAAAAATGGTTGGAGATGGAGTGTGTGTTTTGATGGAGGGTTTTGTATTTGCAGCAGTTAAGACAGTTTAAAAGCACTTTTATTTTAAATTAGAACTGCCTCAATTTTACCTTTGCAATAATATGCCCCGCAAAAGTAGATAAACAACAATTGAGTTATATAATTGCGGGCTGAAATTCTAATTTTTTTCTTCGTCTGCTAATTTTTCTATAACTTCTTTTGTCAAGGCAAATACGGAGTAGACTGTGTCTTTACTCCCCCCCCCCTAAATCCGGTATCATTACTCACTCTTTCATCTGTTTAAGTTGCACAATCTCCTGAAGTGTGTCGTAATTGAGAGAAAGAGAGACCATCGGACTAGTACGTGAACGCACCATTCCTGAAAAGAAGCAAAAACAACCAAATTAATCGTTTAAATATAAGATCCAAAAAAATGGTCCAAAGGGTCTGATATTCTTCACAAAATTTCAAAAAAAAAGAAAACTTAATTGTAAATCATAATAAAAAGTTGTTTCTATATCAGAGATTAATCAAAGACAATTGTTATTTTTTATGATTCTGATATGCAAGGACATCAAAAAGCCGTAATAAGTTTCGTCAAGGGATGCCTTAATTAGGCAGTACAATTTTTTACCTCATAGGTACTAAAAAGTTTCCAACTATAAGGCACTATTAGTTGTCCAAACCCTACAACCCAATTTTGGAGAAAATATATATAATTTTTCTATTGTTTGTGATGTATAAATTGCAAACATTATGGTTAAAATTTTATCTGATTGTCATTAAAATTACTGACTGTATCAGCAGAATCTGCAAAAAAAATCTTATACAGAATACGATAGTTTTTTATTCCGTACATCGGATCTACTTAACAATCGCCCTCCCTTTGGTATCTACTTAAAAATTGCCACCCCTATTAATAAAAACAATAATTTCCCGGGTTGATCTCCATAGACCGAAAATGCTAATCATACAATTTCATACACTTAGTCTATGGAAAAATGCTAGTCATACAAATTTCAAACACTTTTGCAAAATGAGTTTAATCGAATTTCAAAGGTATTTTATAGTTGTTTTGGTAACGAAATTGGTATCTCTTCATAAAAATGGGGGAAAAGCTATGAAAAAAAATGCTAACCATACAACTTCTATATATGAAAATTGTATGATTAGAAATTTTTTTTTAAATTTTTTTGTGAAAAAAAAGCTTTGAACAATCAATTTAACTGCTGGCAAAACATTTAAGCGTTTTTTGGGCTGCTTCGACTGAAAATTTTGACTTTTTTATTTTTGCTTTCTGAAAAAACACTAGTCATACAATTTCCATATATGGACTAGCATTTTTTTGATGGCGACGACAAAAAATTTTTTGAAAGTGTTTTTGAAATTGCCCCCAAAAATTTTTTTGTGTTTTTTTCAACCGCAAATTGATTTTCGTATTCAAAAAAAACATTTATTGAAAAAAAAATTTTGCATGCAAAATTTAATTTTTTGTGTGTATAACGTAGTCCTGGATATACTAATATTGGATTTTTTTTTCCTTTTCTCTTCATAACTTTTTCTAAAACGCTTAAAACTCCTCTTTCTTTTGTATGACATGTTTTTGTATGCTTTGATCAATGTCTGGTAATTTAAAAATTCAAATTTTAGAAATAATCATCTTTGAAAACTATTGCCAAAAATTAAAATTTCATTACTTTCGCTATATTATTTGTCTGAGACAGAAGTAACACATATCAGGCTGTTTCCAATGCATTTTTAATGCGAGAAGACCAAACCGTTGGTTACTACGTTTGAGTAATCAAGGATTATGTCATTTGGGTTCGGTTACGAACACAACAAAAAATTTTGAGAAATTAAAATGTGAAAAATCATTATTTTTGGTTTATGGAAAAATGCTAGTCATACAATTTCCATATATAAAAAAATACTAATCATAGACTTTTCATGCAATTTTCTGTACGTATGGAATTGTATGGAAAGTGTATGACTAGCATTTTTCCATATATGGAAATTGTATGACTAGTATTTTTGGTCATCCCGGGTTAGCACTGAGCTTTCTATTGAGAATTATCATACTGCTGCATTCTGATTGGTCGAAAATGCGTTATTTTAAACTTCTTAACAATTGCTTCCCCTTCCTTAGGGGGGGGGGGGGGGGCTATTGTTAAGTAGATCCCGTATATCTAATCTTTTAGGACTCAGCGTACCCATATTGCAGCTCATCGCAATGTGAAAATCAATTCCTTTTGGTGAAATTTGGTAAAAGCGTGAAAGTTTGAATAACCTGAGCTACCCTGCGGATATTGCAACGCTCTCATGCACTTTTCATTAGTATACATGCGTCTTGTAAAATTATTTGATTTTCAATGATATTGCAAAATATACTTATTATTTAAACTCTGCTGTGAAAACCCGCAACAAAATGTAATTCCAATCGCTTTTTTGTTTGAACCGACTCGACCCAAACTGTGTGATTCGACCGACTCGATTTTTAAAAAAAATGTGTTCGACTAAAGCGTGCTATGTTTCCACCGAATCGTACTTTACTGGCTATGTTTCAAGAAAAAACGTTCAGAGTCTCGATCATTTATTCAAATTAAAAAATGATCAACCTTGATATTTTTCAATACCAACTAAAATAATAATTTAAACATTTTTGTTCTTGCATATTTTAAAATTATTTTTTATTAACCTAGTTTTTCAATTTGAATGCGACGAAAACCTTTTTATTTTGATCGAAATATAAGTCGAACACCTCAAACCGGAAAACCCGTACCGAAGACAGTTGATAAAATTGTTTCTACTGGATATACGTGGTCTTATTAACTGCTAATTAACGTGGAAGTCGGTTAATTTAAGGGTAGATTTAGGAGGGCTGAGGATGACTAAATGGCGACCGGCTCAGCCCAATGACCACTTAAGGGGTCCTGCTACAGCACTGTCTAACGACTTGTGTTTTGGCGTTGTTGTCTCTTTTTTGTGTTTTTGAAATCCCGGGTTGACCAAAAATGCTAGTCATACAATTTCCATATATGGAAAAATGCTAGTCATACACTTTTCATGCAATTCCATAAGTACAGAAAATTGCATGAAAGGTCTATGATTAGTATTTTTCATATATGGAAATTGTATGACTAGTATTCTTCCATAAACCAAAAATATCGACTTTTTACATTTTAATTTCTCAAAACTTTTTGGTTGTGTTCGTAACCGAACACAAATGACATACACCTTGGTTACTCAAACGTAGTAACCAAAGGTTTGGCCGTCTTGCATTAAAAATGCATTGGAAACAACCTGAAATGTTTTCATTCTGTCTCACACAAATATTATAACGAAAATAACGACCTTTTAAATTTTGGCAAAAACTTTCAAAGTTGATTATTTTTAAAATTTGAATTCTTAAATTACCAGACATTAATCAAGACATATAAAAACATGTCATACAAAAGAAAGAGAAATCTTAAGCGTTTTTGAAAAAAGTTATGAAGAGAAAAGGAAAAAAAAAGCCAATATTAGTATATCCAGGACTACGTTATACACACAAAAAATTAAATTTTGCATGCAAAATTTTTTTTCAATAAATGTTTTTTTTGAATACGAAAATCAATTTGCGGTTGAAAAAAAACACAAAAAAATTTTTGGGGGCAATTTCAAAAACACTTACAAAAATTTTTTGTCGTCGCCATCAAAAAAATGCTAGTCATACAATTTCCATATATGGAAATTGTATGACTAGTGTTTTTCCTCAGAAAACAAAAATAAAAAACTCAAAGTTTTCAGTTTTAGCAGCCCAAACAACGCTTTATTGTTTTGCCAGCAGTTGAATCATTTGTTCAAAGCTTTTTTTTCACAAAAGATTCTTTTTAAAAAAATGCTAATCATACAATTTCCATATATGGAAATTGTATGATTAGCTTTTTTTTCATACCATTTTTTTTCCTTTTTTTTATAAAGAGATACCAATTTCGATACCAAAACAACTATAAAATACCTTTGAAGTTCGATTAAATTCAGTTTGCAAAAAAGTATGAAATTTGTATGACTAGCATTTTTCCATAGACTAAGTGTATGAAATTGTATGATTAGCCTTTTCGGTCTATGGAGGTCAACCCGGGATTCCTTGGAATCTAAATATCGGTTTGTAATTTTTAGATTGGATCGTAATTTGTTTGATGCATGAAATCCAATCAATCTATTATCATCCATAGAAATATGTTCTCACAATGGTATTTTTTCTCATTGTTGAAACCACCTTAAGAAGTGACTGAAAACAATTAAGAGGGAAATTTTTGTAATCGATTTCAGATATTTAAAGAAAAATTTGAAAGAAGGAAATGCGGAATTTTACTACGCCAGTCTGGTTGTGATTCGAAAAAAAGTTGTAAATAACGGACCTAATTTTTTTCGTTATATGGACCTAATTTGAGCAGAGGGTGAATGAACAACATTTTCGAAACAACTCAGAAGCAATCCAATTTTGAAATTGTTTTTGTGTTTTAAAAGTATCAGTGGGTGATTTTTTTTGAAATTTCGGGTCCTGCTACTTCAATTCCACTACCCATTCCCAAAAAAAAACAAATCAAAAAAGAAAAGTTTTTTTTTCTTCAGGTGACTATTGTGGACCAAACATTATGTGCTACTTTCACGATAACTGGCTAATTTTGTACTAATTGAAAACTAAAATGATCAAAATGGCTAGGCACCACGAAACATTTCTTAAGCCGGAGAAAAGTTGAGCTCAGTCTGGGGAAAAATTGTGCTCTATCAAAATTTTTACCATAAAAACCTTGTGTGTCAAACAGTGGCGTGCGGCATTTTTCTAAGGGGGGGGGGGGTTTCGAAAAAATTTGAAAAGATTGCGGACCTTTTCCTTAGGTAGACCGAGCTCTCCGGAAAATAGGGACCTTATTTTGTCTACAATTTTGAGCGCCGCAGGCAAAATTTTGAAAAAACTACCCAAAAAAAATCGTTTTTGGGCACTTTTTGGAAATTTTTGACAGAAAAGTGCGTTTTTTCGGCTCGCGCTCCCCTGAAAACTAGTTATATTGGCGCCAAATGCGCCTTTAGAAAAATTGTGATGTTGGTCAGCTAAAATGGATGTCGTAAGAGTATACCAAAGGGGGGCGACCCTTCCGTTTGGAAAAATTTGGCTACTGATTTCACATCAAATATTGCATAAAAACTCAAAATGAAAGACAATTTTTTCGCATTCACTTATATTACAGTTTTGAGATTGTGACTATGATATGCATTCATAAAAAATTCAAAAACAATTAATCAAGAAACAGTTGACCAGTCCCTCCGGGTTTGTTGAAAAATCGTATTTTATTTCAATAATTGTCTATAATTATGCAATTTTAGCGATTGGAACCAGCATGGTTTCATTTTCGGCAACCAGTTTTTTCCACTGTGCTGTTTTCCGCAACCAGCATTTTCTCATTGTTTGCAAACTAATTCATTGCTTAATTTTTGTCTAATTATTTTCAGCTAATCTAACTTATCTAATTTCGTACTCATCTTTTTGTAAAACATTAGCTCAGTTAGAATTCGCAGTTTAGTATAGTTTTTTCAATATACTTTTTTCAGTTTATATATTTTCTAGCCACCTACGGTGGTCGAAAAATTTTGTGCTACTTGAACTAGAAAAACAAAAACGCTTTAGACACTTTTCCGAGCGTCCCATTTATGTTGTGACAAGTCTATAAATGGTTTGAGGTTTGAATATAAAACTAAATTAAATTAAAAACTCCAGCGGTCAACATTAATGTTTTTTTTTCAGCAATTCATTTCTTTAATCAAACAAGACTGCTCGTATCAGGGCGAATCCCTGAATGTTCCGAGTGCCTTTTAAGGTTTGTGGAGTATTAGTAACATCAAAAAATTAAATGCAATAAAACAAAATGAAAAAAAATTCTAAAATTTGAATTTTTTTATGAAATCATCCCCCCACACGCCATATAAAGTACAAAACAATAGATTTCGCTCATTGTAACATATCAATTATGGCAAATATGCTTCTTTCAACCATTTTGGAACGATTTCAAAGACGGATTAAATCTCCATTTACGCGTTAATAGCGCGAAATATATCGCGCGTTAATTGTCTCAAATTGGCCAAAATGGCAATCTTTAAACCCCCATAACTTTACGAAAAATGTTCACAGGTAAAATATCTTTTCAAATTTAAGCTCAGGACAACAATACCTTTTGAATGGTATAAAAAAATTCCGTCAAAAATGGCTAGTTAAAAAGTCGAAATTTGTCTGAAGAAAAAAAAAACCCACCCCGAGCACAAATATTCCGTTACTTTCGTATCGAAAGTCGGAACAAAAACTTTGGCCACTGGGACCAACGTCAGGCACAAAATTTTTAAGATGTTGGCCCGAATATCCAATCACAGGTGACAAATTTTTTTGAAATATTCTAGTACAGAGATGTCTTACCCTGGTGTCGTGTTATGGGCTTGTTGCCTAATGGAACAATGGGCAGCTGCAAAGAATCAGTAGATGCCATAACTTAACTGAAATTTTGATAAAAATTCTGCAAATACTTTCAGCCAAACAAAAGTTTCTGAAGAATGTATCGTCAAGTTAGATGAGTACAAGGTGAGATTTCTTGCATAATTTATTTCTATATTTAATTTTTAAATAAGAACTGCGCTTGCATATTCATTCTTAAAACGTGAGACGCCATTTTGATTTGTTTTGAAGACCAAAACTGAAACAAGACACATAAAAAGGCTGAGATTAAAATGCAGGTGTATTTTTTCAATCAAATACAACACACCAAGCTCAGCAGCCTTGCTTCGCATATACCAACGTGCGCTCTTTCGTAGCACAGAACAACATTTTTGACATCTGTGTTTATATATACAACTGCATTCAATAAATCTAAAGCAATTTTTTTTTCGTTATGTAAGAGAAATCTGATATCAAGACAAGATGACAAGGTTTGTACCTACTTTTAAAAAATTTTAAGCCCAGCGGACTCATTTGAAAAAAGTTCCATCCATTTTTTTCTGATTTTTTAATCTTGGTGTTTTCTATGAAATCTTACATCCCCTTTATGGTAATGTTTGGTAGATTAATTGTCAAGTTCATTTCAATAATACTTGAAAATTTGTTTTTGGAACCTTGCACTAGCAATAGGCTGATTTTTCTGTATAGTCTTACGGATTTTATAGGGAAGTTAATTGAGTCCCTAAATATATATATTTTTTGCTTATAGCCTGGCTGTTAAGCCAAAAGATTTGGCTTTCCCGGCTGATTTCAAACTTTATGGAGGTTCCTCGGGAACTGGTAAGCCAAAATCAGACTATAAAGCAGATGCCGATGTGAAAAAACCGCTCATTTCGAAGAACTTGAAAGTGGAAGTCGTTTCCCAGCAGACGAAAGCAGCGCCCAAACCACCAAAACAACCTAAATAGTGAGTTCAAAATGAAATTGCAATTGCAAACTAACAGACTGAATCGATTACATTAAGTTTAAAAAAAAACAAACCGTTCCGTATTCGACTCAGTTTTGTTGAGCTTAGCTTGTCGGAATAAAGAAATGCAATTTTTTGTTCCCATGATATTCGATATATGCAAGTGTTTCGGAGAATACTTTTTCAAAAATTTGTAAAGGATCTGCTTGCTGTGCAAGCAGCACAACAGAAAACTCCAACCAATATTTGCAAAAAGTTTTTATTGAGAAAAATCCTAATCATAAAAATTTCAAAAAAAGTGATTTTTTTTTAAATTTGAACTCAAGCCACTGATATTTTTAAGATGGTACGAAAGCGTTCAAACAAAATTAGTCAGTGTAAAATGAATCAATGACTCGAAAACAGCAAGGAATGGTCCAGCTTTTTTAAAAGTGTTAAACAGCAAGTGGACTAGTATAAAACATTTGTAGAAATAGACTATAAAACTATAACAAATACTTTCGCTTGGTTCGGCTATATGTTTTGTTCAAAACTTTTTAAAGGAGAAGCAATAGACCAGAGAATTGCTTTGCAGAATCTTTTGACATTATTTGCTTATTTATCCACAATTTTTGACAAGTTATTCCGATCGCTTTTAAAGGTCTATAGAGTAGTGTTTGCTTCAAAACACTGGATGAAAAATTTAAAAAAACTGAGTTTATGTTTGAGATTTGTTTTCGAAAAACATCCCCAACGCAAAGTGTGAAGTACAAAGAGTTATATTTCCGTACGGCGACTTTTTAAATAGAACAAAGTGCATGTCTCATTTCAATTTGGAACAATTTCTAAGACGGATTAATCTAATCCGCACAAATACATCGCGCGTTACTTGCCCCAAATTGGCCAAAAACAAGCATACAATCACAAAAAAACGAGCACAGCTTAAATATTTTTAAATTTGAGCTGAAAAAATCAACATGTTTTCGAAAAATAAACAAAGATGCAGTAAAAAATTGCTAGTTAAGAACTTGTAATTTTGGACATTAGAATAGAGCACAAAAATTCCTTCAGTTTCTTCACAAATTGGAACAATAAGACAATTCGTACGTAAGGCGAATCTGTGAAGGTTCCGACTGCATTTTAAAATCAATTAAAAAGTTTTCGAAATTGATAAAATTAATGAGAGAAAGTTTTGTTTTCATCTTTTTTCTGGATTTTACCCCCCCCCCCCCGCACGCTTATGTAAATTAAGAAGACCAAATGTCTTACTTTAGTTCAATTTTGAACGATTTAGTCCGCCAAATATTGCGTGTTAACTATCCCAAATTGGCCAAAATTCTAATTTCAAACACCCTTAAATTAACAAAAACTGATTACAGCTTAAATCTTTTTTAAGCTAGAGTTCCCGACAAAAAAATTACTTTTGAAATGCTAATAAAAATTGAAATGCTTAAAGAAAGAATATCGAACTTATTCGGAAATTTCTCCTTCTTTTTCAGCATAGTGAACAGGGTGTCTTCGCACTCCATGCAGAATGACCTCTCTCGCATTGTGAGTGAGGTCAGCAGGGGTCAACGGACTAACATAGACCACTTCACTAAAGGTCATCTCAATGAACGACATCTCAACGCTATGGTGCCACCACAACTAGGGTAATTGTTCTAGCAATATTTTGGGGATACTGGTCAAGTGGCTAAAGTTTCCGTCTCTTTGTTTATTTTTTTCCTGAAAAACGACATCTCTGACGGAAGACTTTTCGCTATTTACTGTTTGTTTTTATTTTTTTTTCCGTTTTTGGAACAATTAAGTTCAAAAAACTAAATATTATCTGATATTTCAAGTATTATTTGATTGCTTACAATTGATTTGCAATTTTTTAAATTCTATTTGACTATTATAATTATTAAACATTCAATGTTTGTTAGGGATATTGAACCGAAATGGGGTGACAAATACTCGAAACCACTGCCGCCAAAAAACACCAAAAAAGTGAACAAAAGACCTTCAAGGTCATCAAATGACTACAAAAACATGGGTCATGCCCTACAAGAGTTCGTAATGCGAACGGCAGGAGCAAACAACTTACTCTCGACCGTTTTTGAAGACGAAGAAAAACAAACGTCGCGTTCTTCAAAACCGACAACAAGCTCTGCTAAACCGAGAAATGAAAAGTCAGATGAACTCGAAATCACGGAACTTGAAGACAATGCAATTCCTCGAAACGATGAAGTACCCGAAACGGACAGAAAATCTTACATGTCGGACGAAGATTTGGGAATCTACGAAGCCGAAAACTCGACTATTCGGGATGCATCTGTTGTTCACGATCCAAAACCAAATCTGGGAAGTCGTTGGAATCTAGCGCCTCAAATCGAGGAACTTCAACCAGGCGAACTGAAGTTACCCAAAATTGAGGTGTATAAGAAACCGTCGCATTCCCCAACACCCCCAGGAACTCCAGGGGAGGGGATGAGTAAATTTCTGACGTCACATTTCTACGGGGCGACTAAGAAGGATCAGTTTTCGGGTCTGACGAGATTCCAGGGACGAGTTATGAATTTTGATACGCATGAAGTGAAAGTCGTTTCCAACAGTATGGCTGCAAAATACTACAAAGACAAATTGAAAAAGGTGAAACTCTCTTTTTGCAAGTCTCTACAAAGCGTAGAAGATTTTTTGAAAGGTATTTTGAGATTATGGTCCCAACAAATAATGTACCACTAAAATCAATTACTATTAAACTAAATTTTGATGACAAGACGTGAAAAAAAAAACAGAAATTCTTGATATATGGAGACCATAAACTATACAGCACAAATGTTTCCTAAAATCGCTAACGAAAGAAAAAATTGTAATAAATAGTTTTTTTTAAATAAATACGCTTTCAGGACAGAAATGGTAAAAATAGTCGAGAAACTCTAGACGGTGAAATTGATTAACACAATTTCGATTCGTTATATTTTTTAGCTGTTGACGTCTCTTCCATCGCGTACAATGCGTTCCCCCGGTCCCAATCTGGAGAAGGTGTTTGCCCACGGGAGAGTGTGGGACGACCTAATCAAGGACTCTCCCATCTTCGGACCCGTGCTCACTGTCATCAAGGTATCTTGTTCAGCCCGCAAACGAAAAAAATACCCCCCCCCCCCCGCCTCACAGAGTGATTTTGAGAGTTAACTAGAATGCGTTTCACATAATTTTTCTAGTCGCACATTTGTTGTTAATGAGTTCCATGCTCGTATCAAACTTTAAATCATCCTCCCCGCCCATTAATTTATCTGCTGATTTTAAAATAGTGAAGTTATTTGCCCTATTTGTTGCAAATGAACAGCAAGAGCAAAAAAGTATAATAAAAAACAACAAAAATTTTCAAGGATTTCTTTAACTAACCCCCCTAAGGAACCTTGTAACGAATTGCCATCCTATAAAGAATTCACTCGAAGGTTAAGCACCTGTGAATTTTGTACCTTGTAACGAATCTTCAACTTTTGCAAAAAGGTGGAAATATTAAGAGACCCATATTTAAAAACTGTTTCATTTTTCAATTATATCTTTAGATTCAAGCTTTAGAATCTAACTTGGGCCAACATGTCCCATTTTTAAACCAAGTTTTTTGTCAAAACCGAAAAAACTATTCAAGTAAATTTTTCACATCGGTCCAGATACGGCTGAGAAGTCTTTAAATCAGGGGCGGATCTAAGATTTTCTCGGGGGGAGGGGGGATTTTAAAAAATATACAGTCAAATATAAATAAAATATACAGCCAAAATTATAAATAAAAAAGGCCAAAAAAGAGTTTTTAGGCACTTTTTGAGAAATTTGACATAAAAATTTTGTCTTTTCGGCGTGCGCTCCCCCCTCAAAATTAGAATATATTGGCGCACAAGGCGCCTTCAGAAAAGTTGTAGGGTCCGTAAGCCAAAAATGGATATCTCAAATTAGTACAAAGGGGGACCCTTTGGGTTGGCAGGTGGTCGAAACCCTGAAAGAAGGGGCGTCACCCCTAAATCCACCCCTGCTTTAAATGATATTAAGACGAACATGTTACTTAACTTTCCGTTTACCAAATAGTAGAAAATACAAAAGCACACCTGAATACAAATTGTCTACTCGCCCGGTAGGAACGGGAGCGATATTGACAGGGAGTACAAACGTCGATTAAGATATTCTGGATATGAAAGATGGTTAGACAAAAATTTTTAATTGCACTGGGCTGAAACTTAATCAAAAAAGCTAATGAAGGTCTATTCAAATAGTTTACTGTAATTGAAAAAAAAACACTTTGTGCAAAATCAGACGTTTGTCGATGTTTTCTGGTTTCAAATCTTTTTGTTTTGAGTCGACAAAAACCCTTAAAACATGAATCCAAAGCAATTTATTCAGTCGTTGAAAAAACCTGCGTTTTGCTTTGGTCCAATTGTTTTGTATGTTGTTAATTTTTTTGGAATACAAAATTGGGTTTTCTTTTTTTGTCCTTCGGTCAATTTTTGATTCCGCTCGGCTTCTGTAAGTTCTAAGAAAGAACTAGAACTTCTTAAAGTCCCAGGTGGAATAATTTTATTTCCAGGCATCCTCATGTAATCAGACACCACAAATAAACGTAAAATGAAGACCATTGAAGCAGCATTCAAGAAAATTGTCTGTCGTGACATACATAACACATTCAAAAAATTCTTCAAATAAGGCAAAATTTTTGAGATTTTTGGACCTAAATTGTGGTAAAGGTACGTAAACGTGGGGGAATTCACAATATCTAAAGGCCGAACTTGCTCGCTATTTCACACCGCCGCAATATGTTCCCCTTTTGTACTGAGGTCAGCGGGGCAACCGATTCCCAGTATTGTTCACAATCCCCAAAGGGTTGATTTGGTGGTTGGCTGCTCTGTACTGTACTATGCTGCTCGCCCCGTGATTCGTGCTCCTCCGACTGTATCTCACCAGTCAATCAATAATCGATTGCAACAAAAATTCCAATAATAAGAATGAATTCAAAAATGAATATTACAAAATACAGAGTAGCCTATGATTGGCTTAAATATAAATTAATCACTAAATTAAAGAAAGGGGTTCCCGATTAATATTATTTAAACCAACTGCCTCCTGCAGTTCAATTAACACCTTACTACTAACTAACGTTCTCCTCGAGAACTTCTTTCAATATCAATCGTTCAACAACGATTCCGCTATCCTCTAGATAGCCTAACTAAGATTCACTAACTAATCTACATTCACGTTAACAAGTCTTCCAACTCGTTCTCACTTTACTTTGAGAATCAAGCGACTACCTTAGCTTGTAGCCCAAAATGATCTCTAACTAACTGAGAACCAACTATTCGATTCGCTCGCAATAATTCATCTAACTCTTACAGGCTCTCCAGTAACCTCCAATTCCTTATCTTTCTTTACACTTAGTTTTAGTTAAGTCACGCCATTCCCTATCAGTCCTGACATCCGCCTAAATCACCCGTCAGCACACCCGTCCGACTATATCCCTCCTCCTGTCAACTCTGCCACGTGCCAACTTCGGTTTCTTTTATTAATCTTTTCACACTTATTCGATACCCGGTATGCGGTAGCTGTCACAATTTGACCAAGCAAACAAATGTCATACGATTCTAATCAACCAATTCCTGAACTCTGTGAATTTCAGCTTTCGAGTTCAACTCAACCTCCAAACCATGCTATGTTTACTCAATCTTTATTCCCAAGGCCTTTATCTTAAATATCCCGTTAATGTTCCGACCTCCCAAGGGTAGGGGAAGGCCCTTTTCATGGGTAGCTAACTAATTTCAGGCATCTAAAATTTCTATCTGTACTCTATTCCAATCCCGACCTTCTAGCTATCAGGGGAACGTAGTTCGTCTATTAGGGGTCAAATTAAACCAAAAAGTCATCTCCGGAGAGCCAAGTAGATTTCCCGTCTATTCATATTATTTAGGAAACTTACTTTTCATGCCGCGGTCCTATTACTATCAATTTCTTCTGGGACTACTTTTCTTTTACCCTGACTGATATTCTATTAATAGCACATTTGTCAAGCTAAACTGACCCCATTATTTACCAAGTCCATTTGAATTAAAGCCTGTACTCCAAGGTTGCAATGTAAAAGCTATATCTCTATCAGCTTCTGCTCTAGTTCTCAATATATAAGTTTTCCCCCCAATTTTTAGCAAGGTGACCTATTCTCATTTCCAGGGGTTGGGCTGGGAAATGCGCCATTTTCCGATGTTAATACTGGAGCTTTCCATGCAATTTTGGGGTCACAATGCCCAAAGGTCAACTTAAGGTCACCCAGGGTTCAACCGGGGCCAAACTTCCATATTTGGGTTCAAAATCCCATGCGGGTCCTAACTACCAAGTTTCATCCATATCTTGTTAATACTCCACAAGTAATACCATTTCTAAGGTCCATTATCACTTTTCCCAGGAAAGGCTATTAACACCGGAAGGATTAGCCGGAGGGTTTTCACTAACAAGGGGTCTTTTTTTGGGGTCTGTATCTTATGTCCATTGCCGCATTAAAATCGATATGCCCTCGCTCATTATTTCGCGTAATTTGCCTATTTCCGGTCTTAGAGGGTGTTTTTCCAAGTGCTAATAGATTCCGGTCTAGCCGCCGGAATTGGTTCAAATTATAATACAAGATTTATCATGCCACTACCTATCATCCCTCCAAGTTTCAGCTCCCTGCAATCATTGGAAGCCGAGAAACGACTTCCCGAAGTTAGGGGTGGGTTTGCTTACTTTGGGCATAAAACCGGAAGTGGAGGTCTTAGGGGTCTGGGGTTCCAAAATTAAGCTTCCATCAACTAGGCCTACAACATACCAGAATTTGAGCCCAACACCGCCGCTAGTTTCCGAGTTCTGATAGGGCCATTTACACTTCCGGGGACCGTTATCACTTGCCCCCAAGGGTCTGAGGGGTCCCGTTTTTTGTATGCCCGGGTCAAATCATCTCTAGTATCGCTCCTCTGAATTTCATAACATAAGCTCTCTTAGTTCCGACTTGGGGGGGGGTTCGCCGATTTTGTCAAATTTTGTTTTCTGACATAGGAGGGACAATATTTTCGAAGATTGAACTATTTCGAACTTTACCCTTTGTTTGCTGTACTACTTAACTTAATGACGAATTAATCTTACGCTCAGGTTACTATAGCATGTACTACAGTAGAATCACCAATTCTACAATCTTCCCTTCTAGTCTATTATTCTCCCGAATAAGGCTAAAAGTAACTCCTAACAAGGCCTTATGATAAGTTACATAACTCTTTGCTTCGCCGTGCTCCCTAACACTTAGTCGTTTTCCCTCCCTTTAAAGTTTTACCCTTAAAATATTGCGGACCCAACAGTTAAACGACGTTAAATAAACAATGACATAGCACAAAGAGTAACCTAAGAGGGGACGTACCTGAAGTAATTTTACTCTTCAGTGTACGATCCAACCCTTTCACAATCATAATCATCACTATCAATCGTCTGCACAACAGTTCAGGTGGGATCGCACTCAATGTAACTAAGCAGCAACTAATGAGATAAAAAGAGACAGTCTACCTTTGTAAGTGTTAACTCAGAAACTCGTCGATTCCAAACCGTACAGGTGGTCTCCTTACTCGAGTTGATCGACCGCCATCATCTGCACTTCCAATTTCCATCACCGGTTTGGCAGCCATCACCTCGCCAGCTGGTCTGTCTTCCTCCTCACAGGGTAGATTCGCTGGCTCCTGTTCCCTTCTGACCTCCAGCTCCGTCGTATCGTATGCCTCAATTGCATCTTCTTCCCTTCTAGCCACTTCCCGCATCATTCGTGATGGATCAGCGAAATGTTCAGGCATCTCCAGAATTAGCACATTTCTCCCGGGCGGATTAAATTGTGGTTCGACTGCTCGATTTTTCACAGGCAACAATCTCACTGGTACACCTCGTGGGCCTGGATCATGACTAAAACCCTCCCCGTTGTTCACCCTTAACAACTCATTTCCATCATATATCTCCGGGTCATCGAGGAAGTTAACCGATCGATAGGGTGTCGGTCGCTTGCTGCTAGTAGCCTCATCTGACTGTGCCGTCTCTTCTTTGAATCGCTTCAGCATGTTGAAGTGCAACAA